ACCGCGCTGCTCCAGAGCAGGCGTAATCTCGTAGATCCGAATCACCACAGACCACTCCCTCCGGGTCCGAGGATTTATAACTTTGGGGCTAACTTATTACCGAGGGTGACCTCTATTCCAGAGGTAGGCTTGATATTGGCTGACAGTAAGTGCCCAGTTGAAACAGGTATTGGGAGGTTCAGTTGTACTGTGCCTCAAAATTTTCTGTGCATCGTTCAGAACTGCGTTGTTGAATACTAATCAGTGTGCAGTCAGATTCCTCAAGTACTTCACGCCTAATTCCCCCCTTTATCTTTTTCATCTTTACTTCTTTCTATTGAAAATATACGAAGGAAAGCGACTAATCAAAAGGCTATCATACAAATATAGTAAAAAGCCAAGCGTTGGTGATGCAATTCGAACACAATTCCTTCGGCGTGATAATTTGTTTACGTTAGCACCAGGACAACAAGTGGCGAATCAGGCCTCCGAAACGACACCGACCAAGTGCCTACGCGTTCCAGTTTCTGGACATTTAGCCATGGACCAACGGTATCGATTAGTCACCAGCCGCACAGTCCTTGTGGCTCGAAGGGCGAGAACGGCGATTGGTGGATATTCGTTGGATCAATGACATTACTATCTGCATACTATTTATTACAATGATATCTGTCAACAACCACTTTCCTGTGTCTCGGTGACAGGATATTCCGGAGTACAAGTGCTAGTGCGATTGAGTGTCTCAGTTGCCTTCGTGATTCGTGATTCGTAACCCTACTTTAAATACTATACACCACTGTTGACCATTACCGATAACTGCAGTCTGCTCCATCCCTCTACAAATTCCTACCCGCCTTATTGAGGTCATTCTTCAGGCTCTTGGTGAGCTTCCGTCTAGGGAAATGCAGTGTCAAATTGGGCATCTGAAGGAATGGCTGTGAGAGTGCCCATCAGGGCAACTGGGGTCAAGAAGATCCATTAGTTGTACTTTGATCCCGCGCCAGAATTCGTAGTTGTTTTGATCGACATTTGGATAGCTTCCTTGACTAACGTTCGGTGTTCAGTGAGACCCTCGATTGATGGTTGAACTGAGAGTCCAAAATAGTTTCGCTTCGAGGGCTGATTCGCAACTGTCGCTATAGTACGAGCCTCGATTTCCGGTGACTATGTTTTGGTTGTTTACCAGACGCAGGGACAATCTGGCTCGAAGCAGAGTATGGTCCATGTCCATCGGTGATCATCAATGGGAGCGAATGTCTGCAGAGAAACCTCGCCAGCAGTGGCTGATGGCAATGTGGTTGGTTTGAATATATCGCTGTGAAATATCATTGATTTTGTGGATATCAGCCAATCACCATGCTCCTTTGTCGAGTCCCACGGTTTCTCTTTGAACTGTATGGCTGTTGATTGATCGATACCACTGGTCCATGGCCCAGTGTCCAAAATCTGGAACTCGTAGGTGCTTGGCTGGCGTCATCTGGGAGGGTTGATTCACCACAACTGTTTAACAGGCCGACTACTGAGGACCGTTTACCCATTAGCCTTAGGCGCCATGTTACCGTCCATCGAGAGCTGCGTCAACAGACCCTACTGGGTGATCAGCGCAGAACTGAATTGGTCGATCACTGTTATTTGGTCGCTGGAACAAAAGGCACGGCTTCGTAGGCGTACTGACGATGTGCACACGCGCATTGAATTCAGCTACCAGCATCCTAGAGGTGAGCCATTGAGGTCGGAAATTTATCGGGGGGAAATCAGCCATCATATTGAAACCGGTTATACACCTCGCTTGTTGCGACACGTTTGGTGCATAGTTAACGGTGGTTCACCGAACCGCTCCTCATTCTTGATTGCCGTTCTCGATTGGAGAAAACCACGTGGAGGTTAACAGATCAAGTGGAGAAGAAGTGGAGTGAAGAATAAAAGTAGGAAACTTAACTTTCCTCTGAGAATTCCTAGGGTATCAATTTGAGATCAATCGCCACAGTAGGAAAGCGACAGTGTTTACTCAAGGCTACTGGCTCCGTGAAATCCAGGGTAACGGGCAGAATACGGAAATCCTCAAAGTTGCGCAAATCGTGAAAATAATACAATCAGATGGGTTAGAGGGTGAGAAGGAATTTGACTGTTTCAGGTCACGGGTAAGAGGAACAAAACTATATGAAATGATGGAGCAATCGCATTGCAATTTAACCTCTCCTTCCATCGGCCCTCTTGTAATCAGCACGGTTCTTTGGTCAGTGCACTTTTTCTGACGCCACCGACAAACGCTCGCACTTACGCAATCATTTTTTTCCGGAATCGATGAGGAAACGTCTCGTGGGATACGATTTCATGATAGTCTGGCAGATCATACGGAGAAGTTCACAGATTCCGTAACTAGTTACTTGGGAACATAAGAGACATGGCAGCGAACCGACAACAGTGATCCTGTTGTCACTTTTTTAAACCTGATAGAGCTTTGTATCCCTTCCTTCAAAATAGGCCGAATCCATGTTCACGTTGCACATTTCCAAGTACCTTTTCTGAANTGAGTTTGGCAGCGTTCAGTGATGTGTCCTTCGTTACTCTCGGCTGAACGTTACAGTGAAAACAAAACCATATCGGAGTTTTGTCTAAGCTGGATGGGTTATGCGGACTTAAAACAATCCCCTTTTATGCACCAGAAGTTCGTCTACTCGGGGCGTACATTGACACAAGAAACACCGTTTGATGTTGCCTCTGCTCTCAACATCAAACGAGCTCTCGAGCCGTATCGCACTGTTGACGGGAATTGGCAAGCGAAGATTCAGCCTCGTCGATCAGTGCAATACTCACTTCGAGATGACCCATTGGAAGGGCTTAATCGTCTCATGAAGTGCACAGCCCAGTTCAGCTTTTTTACAACGATTAGCCATTCACTTTCGTGCGGTGGTTTTGTTGTCATGTGGCTGCCCATTTGAATGAAAGCAAATGGAAGATTGGAAGGTTGAAAGTAGTGCCGAAGTAGAAACAAAATTCTGGTTGCAAAGTGATCGTAATGCAAGCGCGACACTGTCTCCGACACAACCATATCACTGTACCTCTAACATGCGGTCGAGTTGCTGGAAGACAAAGTTAGGTTGAGATAGCTTAGCAGGATGGAAGATGTTGTGTTGCAACTAAAGCACAACCCAGGCATGCATGGCACAGTCGGTGCATTTAAAGATAATTGAGCACATCCTAACCAACTAAGAAATAGTGCAATATGATCTGCAGCGATCCACTGTTTTGGTGCTCGGTGGGATTTGAGGCCATGCACTGATGACTCGAGCGCACCAAGAGTCGTTAGGACGTTCGGGGTCTGATAATGAGGCACGCTTTCCTCGAGTTGTAAAACGATTATTTCGGGGCGCAAACATGTCCACATACTCATTCCCTATGAAATTAACAGATACTGTAGGCCGGACAACACACAAGAACGATTTTCACACAGGCCTGAGTTCAGACCGTGACCAACAAACCACAGCACATTACTCCTTAGAAGAAGAAAAGGGTCCGTGATTCGCTTGAGGGCATGATACTGCCAGGTTGCTCAGATCAAAGCAGGTAAATTCTCCAAGGGATTTAACAACCAGAGCCTTCGGCTACCCAAAGCCTGACCCACAACGCGGCGGAGGCGGTGGAAACCGCAGTCCACTGGGAGTTGAGATCCAGTTCACCGGATCATACGCCTTTTGGACGGGGTCAAACGTCCAAGGTGCTAAATACACCTTGATGCCCAATCAAGCTGGCGACCACTGCCACAACCAGGAAGATGTGTTTCGTACACTTATTCTTGGTTCGTTTCGAATCAGGGTTTCCGGCCAACTCCCCTAGGTTAACTGCCAATGGTCCACCAACCCGGTTATAGTCCCGAATGTCGGCTTCTCGTCCTCTCAGTTTGGTGGGAAAACGCCTCCGCCACGACAAGGCAGTGAGTAGGGCTTCGTCAGTATAGGCTACTCGAGACGCTTGGTCATAAAGGAGCATTTCACGAGGTGAAAGGAAGAGGCGACCAGCCGTAAACCGAGACACCCACCCCCAACCATAGTGAGACTTTCGAACGCAGTCGTTCGATGCCCATCGTCACTTTGGATAAGACCCGCCACAGAAACGACGTATCAAATCTGGCTTGAGAGATGGGGCAATTCTTCTGACTTTTTTCGAGTAGATAATTCCGTTCTGAATGATTTGGGAAACAGTGAATCAACTGTGGTAACAAACACAAGGGAACTCTTAAGTCGGGTCCTGAAAAACCAAAGTAGAACGAGTAGTCATATTGAACCATGTACCGCACTAAAGTCAGCGTTCAGAAGAACGAACGAACGAGCGCAACCAGTTTTGGGGCTGACTCAGAATGATAATCTAGTCAAGCTGTGAACCATTTACCCACTGTGTGCAAGAATTAACCCTAAGTACACAAAATAGTCATAAAATGACCTCAATTAGTACTTCGGACTGACGAAGAATGTGAAGTGGAAATAAAGTTGAGCTACGACGTCTTCATGCTCAACCAGACCTGGTCAATTAAATCGTGGTAGCGAACCGAGTTTGAATTTCGATCTGAAGTTTGAGTTTTCAGTACGCGACCCTGGAAATCGACTCATTCCAAACACCAGACAGTCTATCAGACGGATGCACCAGAGATTACTTCGTGGTGGGAACTCCGAAGGTTTCTCATACATCAGGAATCACCCTAAATTATGCGGCAAAATAAGCCTCAGAAAGCCGAAAATCTGGAGCGATGCACGTTTCACTTCTGATAGCTGCGTAATACGGATATTAAAACCCTTCACTCAACCACAAGTTGAAACAAAAATTGGATCAGATAAGAAAGCAACTTGTTCTTCTTTGATGTACAGGAGAGGGCAAAACGCACAAATGACGAGCATTAGCTAGGTAAATACAAGAGTAAGGTCATACTGTCCTTTGTGCACAGGATGACGTATTCATTCACGAAAAACTGCACAGGAAGCTGGTCCTCAAGAAACCGGTGAATGGGGCTGCGAGAATACGAGTAGTTACAAAATATAGTCCAGTTCATGTCGCACGTAAGTGTTGTTTTCGCTGTCTGAAATCCGTGGGAAACCATATACCAAACCGTCTTGATTTCCAATGTAAATAGTATTGTACACCTTCCACATCATATCGCGAACCTTCCGGGCAGGATGGAAGAGACCCTAAAATTGCGTAGAAGAAAGGCAAATGTCGATAGAAGACCAACGAAAAGCTCACAGACAAACATTTTTTTTGTTTTATCGTGAAAGAAATTAAGAATGTCACTCTTGAAACCATAAACTGATATAAACTTTTCCCGGTATGCAGATAATAACACGCCACATGCTGGAGCTATCAACATTTTTGACTCATCGCCAAATACATCTCGCAAATAGTATTCCATTTTGGCTTGTGGGATCAGTAGAAATATACACACCTAAACGGCAAAATATGAATCAGCAACTAATCCCAATGCAGAGTGAAATTCTCTCATAAGTACAGTATATTTTCAGAAAACAACAGCCATGAAACAAAGCCGACCGATAATTCCCAATGGAAAACACAAATGATCAAACTACTTTCATAAAGTAAATAACTGAGGGCGCTAGGTTGTACGATTGCCGGATTAAGCAGTATAGCAATATTCAGCACTAACCTGAAGCGTATATTGCAAGATTTTGTTCGGACCCAAAGCAACACGAAGTCCTTCGACACAAAACATGAAAGCTTGTACAACGTGCGGTGAAGATTCCAGGACGTTAGGCCATACTATATTCAAGAGATGAAGCAACGCATCCTCGCAGCCGAAACCGTAAACACCCAGGGCCATATGTCCAACTGCAGTCATGGCGGTCTGACGGTGCACTAAGTCTCTGAAAGAATTTCGGGGAACACCATATAATAGAACGCCAACGCATCGTGGATAACTAGTGTATGCAAAAGTCATGATTCGTGCCATGTTTAAATACAGATTGTATTTATCAATCACCAATATAAGGTCGATGAAATAAGGCACTAATGAAAGTTGTCACCCGAAAAACAAACTGAATTCCGTATATCGAGATTACCGAGGAGTAAATTTGACGGGGAAAGTATATACGAGTAACATGAGCAAGAAATACGACCCTCGAAAACGTGTATCCAGGATATGCAACGGTGGATGCTGTATGGAGGAAGACTGTACCAAGGATTAGTGAAAGCGAGTGACAAGAAATTCTCCAACTTTCAGTGGTAAGAAGGTATATTAACCTAAAAGCTACTCGATCGAGGGAATCATTATGAGCAACGACAAGTTGACATAAATGATGCATTACCGAATACACTCAAAAGATCATAGGTAGTAAACCAAGAATAATCGAGTTCGGGTGGGGAAGCAACAAAACGTTCTGGCTCAGTCAAACACACCTAGAAGCGCGCGGATACGACGATCAGTATTAAGATGCTCCAGCATTTTTGAATTATTTGAATTGCTCGCAACACAGTAAGTCATACAGTGTTACGGATTATCTTAATCTAGATAGATAGCTCTACCACTATCAGAATAAATATCAAATGTGCTTCACAAGCGTCGAGCTTTCATCCTCGTATAAGTGAATATGCACAAGATTAAACCATTTCCAAGAACAGCAGATCATTTAAGATACAGCAGTAGTCGGCACACAATGAACGTCACTTACCGGTCCATTAGTGCGTCTTCCAAAAGTGTGGTCACCGCATAGATGTAATCTTTGCTCATTTCCCCAATGTATTCAAACATGAATGCCAGTGATTTGAGTACTCCATTTTGTACGTTCAACTCCGGCACTCGATATTCATTCATTAAACCGGGGAGGACTGTGAAAGGACTACATGTCTCAGCAACAATGGCTATAGCTACTGTCGTACACACACGATTTTGACGTTCTTGAACCTGCAATTAGATATAATATGGAAGAATAATCATACATCCGCAAGATAATGCGAATGAGCACATGAAAACGACAATTTGGCAGATCATACGAATCGCTAACCCCGCTTGCACGAAATATATATATATATATATATATATATATATATCTGTGTGTGTGTGTGGACGAGCAGAGTGCACTTAATAGAATAAAAAGTGCTGCTGCTAGATCCGATATGTGTCCTGCAACTTCAAAGGGCAGTGATGGTGTAAGACTGGTTGTGGCCTACTTCCGCTTTGCAGCTAAATGACCAGGAATTGGTTAGTGGATTCCTTTTCCTAGTAAGGTAGTTGTCACCAATGAAGGTAACGCAGCAAAGTAGATAACCGCACATATTTCAAAGGCTCGAGCGGTGCACGCAGGAGTGAAACACTTTCGGCGTAGACGCGACGTTTCAATGAAGTTGGAAGATCGTGTATATTATGCTAACGTTCGTTCAGTTCTGCATTAGGGTTGTGAGACCATTAATAAGCGAGTAGATATTCATCAACCAGAAGTTTTCGCCTGTCGGTTTACGAAGTTTAGCTCATTTGCGATGGAGCGAACGGGTTAGTAACATGAGAGCTTATCACGGACAAACTCGCTACCTCATCGAATTCAGACTAGGCTAGGCTACGTATTGCGTATGCCGCACTGCGCTCTATTCGCTGTAGCCGCTCGGGGCTGGAGGAAACCACGTGGAGGTCAGCAGATGACGAGGAATGAAGGAATGCATAGAGCAATTAGGGTAGAATAGGTTTCGGAAAACAGCAACTGGTTGGTTGGAGACATTGAAGGATATGGTAGTGAACCGATAGCAGTGGCGATCTTGTTGGCATTTCTCTTTAGGCCAGAGTGCTTGAAACGCTGTGTGCAAAGTTAGATTGTGTATTCTGTCTTGACCATAGATGTCCACCTTCTCCCCTCTCGTTCAAAATAGGTTCAGTCGCTATCCACCTTAAATACTACCACTAACCTCGTATGTATTGCAAGTTGGCAGTGATCAGTGAGGTTTGTCTCACTGTACTTCCCTGTACGTTTTTCAAGCAAAGTTGGAGGATGAAAAGTCAACATTCGAGGCTACAACTAGCCTGGTGAACGACTGGCAGTTTGTTTGGGGAGTTGGCTGAAAATTCTGATCTAACTAAATTGAGGTATGCTAATAACACATCCCTTTCTAGTTGTGGTACAGATCACCGACATGAATAGGCATCAAGGTGAATTTGATGCATTGGACGTTTGGTCCTGCCCAAAGGGAGTAGGATCCATCACCTTGCTACATTGGCCAATTGAAGGCTCCAATCGTGAACACTTGTTTTGACCTCAGCAACTGGGCAGTAATCCGCCCGGAAGAAAATCATGAACTAAGTTGTCACAACGGTTGTTGTACTATGATCTGCTTAGTATCCGGATCAAATGAAGTCCGCGATCGCATTCAAAGAGCGATACAACACTCGAATCGCACCATGTAAAAATTATGTCCTCGCTAGGCTTGACTACAATACCTTTGTCTATTCGCTCGTCTTGCAGATTGCGCCAATCCACTTTTCGCATGAGTCAGTGTTGTGGCCCGCAGCCGACTGAAACGCTGACTGGGCATAACATGATTGACCGATTGCTCGATGCGGTTTGCCACCACACGAACGCCTCGGGACTTACCCCCATTACCAGGTCGATCGAGCTCAGTCAATCAGATACCCGTAGTCAACTGTCCTCATTAATCGGTTTGTTGACTGCTTAGCTTGACGGCATTTTGCCTTTTGATGACACGCGCCAGTGTTGGTCTGCCTGCTTACACGCTATCGTCCTGCATGCTCACCGGTTAGCAGATCGACCAAATGTATGTGCACAAACTATAAACAGACAAACTGTCTAAGTTATCACTCAAACGGGACACATCTGGTAACCTATACGTTTACCCAAATGAAGGCATTCATTGAATACAATAAAAATAGCAAGCGGTCACAATGAACCAGAATGAAGTTTACCTTCAAATTGTTTAGCAGTGTGGCGAGCACATCATGGGGGCCGATGGCTTTGGCAATGTAACCGAACGTGTTGACGGTTGCTCGTCGGATGGATTTTTTGTGGGCTTTCAATAGTTCCAGCAGTTCGAAACAGATTCGCATCCACTCTCTGGATGAAACGTAATCAGCACCACGATCAGCAATACGACCAACCAAATCGATGCAGTTTTCTTCAACTTTTTCGTGCCTAAATTAGAAATGAACAGGGGTGGAAACGTAATGGTTCACAAAAGTTGACATGATTAACTCTAAGAATCAAACCAGAGATGAAAGGAAACTCCTATTCGAAACGGGTCCTGGTACTGAAAGTATAAAATCACGGTAGGTTGCGAGGTTCTCCACATAGTTCGATTAACAGTTTAGATACATTCAACATGCGTTTTCTAGCTTCAAAGTTGAAACATTTTAAGGCTGGGTTATTCCAGCTCGGAACCTCACGCTAGCTGAGGGGAATGAGAAAACAAACCAATTTTGCTACCACGCCAGATGTTACCTCGCAGACGCAGCACGAATAAAGTAAAGATAAGCATACAGAAAGCTCAGTGCTTTTGAAATTGAGACACGTCTGTCACCGAAACGACATTAGGTGGTCTGTGAGGGATTGAGTGTATGCTGCAGCTGATCGGCCGACTTCGTATGGTGTAGCGTATTCGGCGTTACAGAAATAGGATGAAGCGAGAAAATCGGTTTTTGAACACCGCTGTCTACACTGTATCGCACGAGTTCGGTGCATCAAACGGACAAGTAATGCTGAGATGGGTCAGTTTTGTGTAATTGCAGTCGGGTCACCAAAGGTGCTTGACCCCATTGATCATGTTGGCTGGGGGTCTAGTGCAAGTCACCTGATTGATATACGCGACGTGCGTTTCCCGAGGCAGGTAATGTGTAAAAAATCAACGGTGGCCAAATTAGGATCCGGCATGGGGTATGAAAGCCCATATCATACGTCGCGTTAGGCTTCCGTGTTGGAAACTTCGATGTGGATGGGTAGATAAACTGAGTAGAGTGGTGCTTATGCACATACATGATATGTTCGTAACCTTGGTCTACTTGAATTCCCCCATCTCCACTTTGATACCCCCTCCAGCATCCTGATCATACCATAATTCTTTATCTAAACGGGCAGCCAAAAGATAACTGAAATCGCCGCGTGAAAATGCGAGAATAACGATAGAATAAACGGAAATGAAATCAATAAGTTACCTATTCTTGAGGATTGGTGTTAATCGAGGTAAAAGCTCCTTAATGGGCGGTGTCATTTTCGTCATACCGATCACGTTGACGATTGCTTTGAGGGCACCAAGGATGCTCCCGAGCACTTCTGGATACTCCTCACCCAAGTACTCGTAGAGGACGACACCCAAGTGACCCATGAGCTTTTCTTCTTGACAAATTTTCATCACCCCGGCAATGCGACTGATAAGGTCAGCGGCCTGTTGACGAACTTTTGCTGATTTGTTATTTAACCGCCAAAGTATGGTCCCGCAGATCTGAGGAAGGTATGGTTTGACCCGTTTGCCAAACGACTGAACGATAGTGCCAAAGCCAGTAAGCATAACAGCATCCTTCAGAAAACAAATGATGACAATGGAAGAGAAACCGAAAGAATGAGTACCTTTTAAAAACCGTAAAAGGAATCTACGTTCACTGTCACTGATCTCTTTACCTGGTTACTTTCCTGTCTCATATAAACGATGGCAACCACCACAGCCCGTTAGGGTGTAAAGAATCAAGTGGTCAAACTCAGACTTGGGTATGCGAATCCTGACAAGGGGATTCGGTTACCTAGGTTGCGTTAGGTTTATCTGCTGAGAACGTTGGGAAGTGTAGTTGATGGTTGCAGACATCGAGTGTTTCAAACACCAGTGCCTGTGAATTTACTCGATTCTTTCGCGAATTCAGCGTACCACTGGTACCACTGCCCACTTATTAGTTGGAATGAACAGTTAAATGATGGTAACCAGAACGGTCGCATGAAAGTGCACGTTACTGGCTGCACAAAATGAAGAATATTTTTCGGTTGAGAGAATAGAAGCTAATCACTCAGTTCAACATGTCTGGACTCAGGAAACAAGTCAACGTTGGGTGATCACGGAGAAAATCCACTGTAACGATCGTTCTCCCGTGGACTTCTTTTTCAAGTAATAACTTGAAACTCAGCTAACGGTAAACATTTCAATGGTGGGATTTGACTGTCTTAGCTAATGCTACGAATTTAGGTAGCATCCACTGCAGATGAGTGTACAATACCAAAATAACGTCCCGAGACGGAGTGGTGCTTCAAGCCGAAAGTGTCTTTTGTAGAAAAACTAAGCGTGATTTACGGAAAGACAACACAAGCACTTGCAAACTAAAATTCCTAACTATGGAGACCATAATGGGGATAATAACCACATGATGCTCACGGAGAAATTCGGGTTCGCTGAAAACATATGTGAATGCATAGGGCAACAGTAAAGTTTGATATATGGAACAATCTAACGAATGCTTAAACAAGAGAAACAGGGTTGGTCACGAGTAGGTTCTCCAAGTCCATGTTCCAGGTGCCATTCACGGCCGTTTGTAGTCCGATCTTCATTAGGACTGATAATCTGAAATAGGCATCGGATATCCTAATTTAGAACAACTCAGCGAAGAACAACAGTCTCATAAGGAGCAAGAATGAAAGATGATTTTCCACGGCAACCTAAAATATGCAGAGTCAGATGATTTGATAAAGTGTACTCACTTGTATCATCAGTCAGTGTCAGCATATAGATCCAGGAGTATAAAGCAGACACGGAAAGTAGGCCCCTCAATTTACGGGTAGGAAAGAAATGATACAGTCATTAGCCAAACAGAATGAATGTAAAATAGATTAAAAAAGCAGGTGTATCCTTTACCAAATTATGAATACACTCACCTCTGTACTCTGCTCTTGAAAGGCATAAAGAATGCCATCGATAAGTTGCTCCTCGAGGCGGGCATCAATTTCTGCACTACCTAAAGTAGACATGACTTTCTCAATGGTCTCCATTACCATCTTGCGGTACTGCTCTGAATCATCCTTTAAATCATCAACCACACGGGAGATGATGTCAGCAGCACCGACCTTGTTGGCAATCTCGATAGTTGTGTCAACCAGCTGGAAAAAAACAATTCATCGATCAGAAAACTAGAAATCGCAGGATAGTAATAGAGGTCAAGGTGGGAAAAACAACAACAAAATAAAAGAACGTTGAACCCTAAAAATGCATTATAGATGGATCGCTTACCTATATCGATAATACAAAGGGATGTGATGTTATAACAACCCGGTGAAGGTATTCAGTGGGCGAAAAAAGTGAATCGTGTGTAAAAATACCTTAAGGGACACTTATTGGATATTAATCCTTATGGTGGATGGAAAATGGGTTTACTTGATTGGAAGTGAACTTGTATCACCAAAATATTCTACTATTGCATGCATTCCTTCTTTGTTTCATTTCATAAAAAAACAAATCCTGTCAGTTGGTGTTCGGTGGATCAGATTAAGTATCTTTGGGATACAGCTAGGAAGAAGGTAACACTCAAATCTGCAACTGGGGTCTATGCTATGAACAACATTCAAAATTAATTGATCCAGTTATTACCCTCGATGTTGGTTTTTTTAATGCAAAGGTTTTAATGACCAAGCAAGCTGGGCCCAAAACTGCGGATGCGATGAAACAAATGAGTTGAATAATCATCAATTGTACTGTTAATGTGCCTAGTTAATGGAAAAATCGACGATAGGTAGTCTAAAATCAAATCTTACCTGTCGATAATTGCGCCGATCAATGGCCATTCGTTGTATCCAGAAACTACGGAAAAATGGAGGGAGGATTTCAGCTTTGATATAATCCGGTTCCACACCATCGGTTGCGCAGCACTGTTTTACCACTTTCAATACGATTTTCTTCATTTCTTCGTCCGGTGAGGAAAACTCACGGATAAGAATGAGCATTACCTCACGAGTATAGTAGTTCGCATACTCAGCATCCATAAGAGGAATCAAATATCCAATAGCTTTGAGGAAAGCAGCAAGACCCTAAAAATAATTGATGAACACATTAGTTATGTCGATTGCTTTTACATCAAAATCACAAAATGAAGATCAGAGGGACAAAACCATAACACTATGTATGTATGACCTAGAAAATAATTTCCAGTATGTTGGATGTACTTGAAACAGACCGACCATTGTCGTCTCGAATTAGAAAAATAAGATACGTGGGCTATAAGCACAGTGGAAGCGAACATGATACACGAAAGAGACCCACTTATCGAATAAAAATGACCAGTGACAACAGTTGTGACGTACCTTTCCTCGATGGGTGCGAATACCACGCCACAAGGGTTCCAGTACGGAATCGAAGGATTCAATACCATATGGAGTAGCCGCTTCAGCCAAAGCGGCCAAAGCCAGAGCAGTAATAGTTCGAACCTTTTGTTGATCATCCACCAATCCATGCTCGATAATTTCAACCAAACTCCGTAGATGAGGAAGAATAGCACAACCCATCAGAATGGAAATTTGTTGCACGATTTTTATTCCGGTATGGCGAGCTTGCCAAGACTTCTTTGATTTGCAAACGGCCTGGAATAAACCAATAAACAAGAACAAGTGTGAAGGTTGTCTTCGTTAATAGAAGGCCTACAAATATACCAGTAAGACACTACCGCTCGTTCGATTCTCAGATGTGACCTTCAATTACAGCAGCAACCCAAACCGTACTAGGTTTTAAACACCAGTTTAAACCTTATTTATGAGTGCATGGAAGAGTCCAAACCCCAATAGATGAATGGACAGATGGGCAACCGCATTCAAATGGTTTTGGGAGTATACTATCGCCACACTTGGAAAAGGACGGCAAACAAGTCTGATTTCAGTGATTCATTCAATGGCGCAATTTATAGGGTGATAATTGTTGCTCAAACTGAAAAAAATCAGTTTAATTACGGATGGTGCTCGCTCTATGATCATCATACACTAGTATGTGTCAATTCAAAAAGGGGAAACTTTATATTTTTCCAAAGATAATGATCCTTACTAAAGGGGTCATAGCAGTAACCATCAACTCATTACTATATCTGCCATACTGGTCTGAGTGGCTCGAAGGTAGGGCTGTCAGCTCCAATATCTGAACACTGATCGCCCGAAACTGAGTTACTGTAACCCATTACTCTGTTTTTACCCATCATCGCATCCTGATGAAATACAAAAAAACATATTAAAGCAAAATATCTGCGACAGTGGCTTGAAAGATAACGGACAAAAACAGTACCTTCAGGAAGGGTAACAGACTTGGGATTCCCAAAGCAGAAGCGACCACCGCGAAAGCCCGGGCAGTTGTGTTACGCACGTATTCGTCCATATTGTCTATGTCCGGTCGCATTGTTGAAATCATAGTTGCTAATCCGGCAGCCTGCAAACGACGAAGAACAAAATGGTACATTTGTTTTACAAGAGCAGTATGACAACTTATGAGTGCTTATGAGTAGTGGTGACGGATAAACGATATCGAAATGGATTGACCAAACTTGACTTTACCTTCACGCGCAGTTCAACTGGTCAACCGTGCACTCGGGAGGCACTAAACGTGCTTCGTTCTTGTTAAAGGAGTACGGATTGCAAATCCCGACCTGACGGCGGAAATGCACTATTGATGAGGTCTAACAAAAACGAAACTCGAGTCCAGTGAGTAGAGTATATGGTTGACCGGATGAACAAATGATTGTGTGAAGGTGGTCTGAGATGTGTTCAATTGAAATCCGTATTACTGTTTGAAAGAACACTGACCTTCGCCAAATTCGAAATAATCTCACGACCTTCCACACGAGCGTAATAATCCTCGTCGATGAGTAAGGGTTCAATTACGACCAATATCTTGTGGACGTAGGGTCGTACCAAGTCATCCAGTTTATAGAGAATGCGATCGATGACCTGTAAAAAATTGATTTTGAGTGAAAAATTAAAGGAATCGTATTGCACTTTTCAGGTTGCGATCAATTCAAGTGCTATGGTGAGCAGACGAAAATGACCAGTAAAAAGAATAGTATCCCCATTACTGCAATATATGAACTACAATATCATGAACACGAAAACTAAATGACAAAATCGATTTTCACTAGTGACAAATAGGCCGGCACCTCAATGATTTCAATACCGCCGTCAACATCCAAGGTTAAGTCACTCGTTCGAAATAAAAGTTTAGCAGGATTTTTATTTTGTGGTACCACGTCCTGCATCGAAAAATATTTCCTCCGAAAACGCACTCGTTTTCTGTGATCAACTGGATATTGTGATGTCGATCGGAATGCAGTCCTCTCGTGTTTTTAACTGATTTGTGGTGCAATATACAAAACTTACGTCACATGCGATGCATAGCGATACCGATGAACGTGGCGAACTGGGTACAATACAACAGATCAGTGACCGTGTGTAAGACTCACCAAAACAAATATGATACCTAACAATTTTACAGAACTAGTATAATTTAAAACATCNAAACATCAAATGCCAAAAAAACTGCAGTTGAGATTGAGGATACTTACTTTCACCAAAAGATGACGTTCTTGATCTTCCAAAGTTGGAGACATAAGCAAGGGCAAAATTTGAGCGAACAAGGGACCCGCACCAAACTCCCTGGCCTTATCTGTTATTTGCCTCAAAGCAGATTTGCGCATTGGCGGTGTGCCATTTTTGATTTTCAAAAGGAACGTCATAATTTTCCTCTCCTTCGCCTCTTCGGGTGGTAGACTTTCTTCATCTACATCCTTGGTTCAAAGCAATAAATGAACGAGAAGAGTGAATGAGATCTAGCAAAATATTCCTCATTTAAATTAAGCTTAGGAAATTGGAGTGAACAACAAAAGTAGATGTCTGACAACAACAGCAAAAAGCGGCAGACTAGATGCTACGTATGGCTGCATACATATAACCGACTTATGAGCAAGCATGGATCCAACGCCAAAACAATAACAACAGAGGTTTTCGCATTGTTACCGTACGCTGGGGGTTAGATCAGTGGTCAAATCAATGCAACCAGTGGAGATGGATTAGCTGTTGTGAATAAAGCGATCTCACAATATCGTGCTTACAAACGACCAATGAATTTGTTATTGTTACACATATGCTCGCATCGTTTACTTGACGAGTTACGTGCACACGAGCCAGAAGAAAACACAATGCAAACGTTTGAAAATTTAAATTACTTGAAGTAATTTCTCAAAGTACTGCAGATCGTCTGGTCGCATCATCGGCAAATTTGCGCCCTTCGGTTGCATGTCACCCAAAGCGGCGGCATTTCCGCCAGTAGCATTCATTCCCAGACCAGCAGCTGTGCCCACATCAGGTGTGGCAATCCGGAAGCCCATTGGTGTGCCCACCATTGGTGTTGGTGTTGCAACCAAACGACGTGCCGGTGTTCTGATAGGTACGTAGCCAGTGGGCGGAGGCATTATTTTGTAACCTAGAAAGCAAAACCCGAAGGAGAAAAAAATGAAGCAATTGTGTGTATTAAACTTATGATCAAACATTCTGGTGTGCATAAACAAAAAAGTTGTCCAATTGCACATCAGCCCGACAACCGTTCAAATTTTCAAGACACACAATGAAAATACTCACCAGGAGGCAAAATCTCATCTAATTCTTCATCAGTCAATGGTCTGTTACGATCGTCAATCTCTTTCTGCCAAGCGTACACTTGAAGTTGTTCGGGTGTCATGGGCACTTTGGCACCAGGCAGTGTAACATTTGCAGATCCGAAATCAGGAGTAGCCATAGCCATGGCTCGCATGCCAGTGGGGGTTGTACCAGAGGGTGTGAAAACACTTCCAGGGGCCAAAGCGCCTGGTCCCGCTGGTGTTCCAACGCTCATGCCGCTAGGTGTAAAACCAACTGGTGTCTGAAAATGCATTGAAAAAGTGGGGCTTTTCGGGCAATGGTTCGGAAAAAATATCTAGTCACATAAGTATACCAGTAGACGAATTTTTTAACACTCTAGTATTCTAGCGCAAAAACTAACGAGCATAGGAAAATGGAGTGTCGGGAAGCCAGATTGAAAACTAACCAGTGTCCAATTTATGATTTATTTGATAACCGTTACATATCTAACACCTCAGAAGACTAATATGATGCTCTGGATTCTTGAATGTATGCGAATGATGGTTAGTTATGGAACCTCACATAAAATATGCCGCGTAACAGAGGCAAAAATATGCCGCGTAACAGAGGCAAAAATATGCACACTCACGCGTGAAGGGGTGGCTCCTGGGGTAGCGCCGCCTTTCAGAGGCGTTTCGTCCCAACGCGAACGTCGCTTCACTGCAACCGCTGCAGCGGTAGCAGCTGTTGATGGCGTAGCGGATGGTCCATATATCATAGAGGAAGGTGTGTCTTGGATCGATTCCACCCCTGACACACCAGGGGTACGGTCTGCTCGAGGAGTTTCAGCCCAGCCGGCACCGTGGCTTGGAGTGTCCGCGCCATAGCGCTCTGTGTGCGGAGTTTCATCCCATCGATTACGTCGAGCACTGGGGGTACCCTGGAAATATAAGTTATTTCATTCATAGCTTTATTTCAATTTAATACATGACATTGTACTAAATGAGAAAACAGGAAATTAACAGGTTCGTTGGATGCATGATCAATGATTTTTAGAGGTCAGTGGTTGATGTGAATGGGCGTGCAAACACAGACACCCCACACAGTGCTTTGAAGGTAAGTGTGTGCTTTCCTTATTGGTTGGAACGAGCAAACACCATATTCGGTGCGGTAAAAATATATGATGCAAGCCGAGATCAAAGTTGGAGGCATAACTAGAAGCAAAACTAGTCAATCTTAGCTAACTGGGTCCGTCCGTATAATCGAACTGGGTGATTCAAATAGCAATGACAAACAGATGGAGACTGAGCGTTCCATCACGGTGATAAGGAAATCCCGTAATGGGACCTACAAAAGCGATGATCGATGAGTGGTGATAGACGAGTGGTAAGGTCACCAAATTATCGCTCCGGTGTTCACCACCACCGACTGACTTTACCATTGTGTTATATGATAACCCTATGACTGGCAGTTTACCCTTTCTTGACAATTGCATTATTATACAATCAATTGAGAAGCAACTTAAAATATAAGATAAGATACACAGGACTCAATCACATGAGGCGATGTGACGTTTCACTGGAAATGAAAATTAGCATATACCGAGCCATTATACGGCCAATACCGCTTTACGGTTGAAACCTTGAACTTGCGAGTAGAAGATAATCGATGCATACGTAGTCCGGCCCAAGACTGGGTTCGTCCAGAACCCAGCCTCACTCTAACTAATATATAGTTGAACTGTGTACTCTGTGTTGACAATAAAAGTTTTCTTTCCTCATCCTCCAAAATAAGTTCTCCTTAGACATTCTTATTTTGTTTGCATTGATTTTTACAGCGATCAGTGAAGTTAGCTGCAATGTATTCTGTTGTACGATGATGAGAAGAGGGAGGAAGAATACATCTCAAAGATAGATTATAGAGTAGCTGAACACCACCCAGATGAAAAAGCGATGAAATTCGAACGGTGGACCCTAGGAACTGAGTGCCCGTATTAAAGGATTCACTTGACTACTACCCACCTGTAAAGGGGAACGGTGTTATCCCTCACAACAGGTTTCATGACGTGGATAGATAGAACCGGATGCTTGGAAGTGACAGCTTATTCTAGACTAAGCTACAGTCAGTCTCCTGTTATGTCACACCCCTGAGAAGTCACATTCTCCCACACATTTCCACTTTTTGGAGAACTCAAACCAACCGTATGCGTAATAACGTGGTTTCTGACTATGCGAAACCCCCTCCCCCAATATGTCGCCGTTCCTGATACCTACTCACTTGGCCGTTGACCGATGTTGGGACCGGCCAATGACCAGTCAACCTGCAATATCGCACTCAGCCATTGGCGTTTCACCAAGTCTGAAGCGAATGACACGGATCACTGGTCGGATAACCTCTACGAGGAAGATACACCGATGCCAACAATCGAAGACGTTGTGCAAGCGCCTACTGATCATAATGTGTTGCAGACGCTGAATTACCAGGGTGCAACTTACAGCTCAGTAGCCGAATCACTTGGTATTTCAAGAACAATTGTTTTATTATCTCCCATCGAGCCANACCTGAAAACTAACGAAGACAGTAAATGAGGCAATCTCAACTGTTCTTCAATGTTACAACCAGTGAATCAAAGTGTGATTTGGTCTTTCAAATGTCCGTCTGGGAAACATTTACTGGAATATTTTTAGGGTGAATTCGTCATGTATAGAGCAAATGAAGCGTGAACTGAAAAGCTAGGAGGCACTGTACAGCTGTTTCGACCTGATAGTCCTATCAGCGATGCGAATCCATCTACCCAACTGGGGATCGAATGCGGGACCACACAGGCAGAACGCAAGCATGCCACACACTGGGCCACCAGGAAGCTGCAGAAACAGCTTTTCACCTCTCTCGGTACAGCATCTTTGAGAGTTTGTTGCGGATATCAAGCCTCGCTCATCTCAACACTTTATCTTTGATGGAAGTTGAGCAACTTGGCATGAAATCCTCATGGGCATGCATCTGGTCAAGAAAGCTTCGGTGCTTGTGCACTCGAACGTACTGGTCAACGCTTTCATAAAAGCTGGGTTCAAAACCACATTGAATCAGTCGATGCAACCACTGGAGGATAACGGCAATCTGATTGAAGACTACTCACCACGTCTATTGACGAACGCCTTTCTAGAGAAATAGCCTGTTTATAATTTGATGATGAAGACGTGGATTACTTAAGATTTTTGCATCAAGTTTCCTTTTTAATCATTAGTTGAACTTGTTTCAAATCAAGCTGAGCATCATAAAGATAAATGAGAAGCGGTGAATACGCTGGAATTTATCTCAATTAGAGAAGTACAGAAATTACGGGATCCATTGTTTGCCCAGACTAATGCTCAAATTTCGGGTCCATTAATGGGGTGCACAACTGATTTACAAAGAAGTCAGACTGAGACAAACGAAGATTTATGATTGCTAAAACCATATTTTCATCATCTGCAAAGTTTTACCCGCGATTCTGTGGGGCACTTGAATGTGGTCATTTGTGCCGCAGCAGTCACCAAAGCCATGGCTATTCGGTCTATCGATGGGCTCTGTCGGATTTAATTGTAAACGGGTGAACTACTATCGCGACTGACTGGTAAGCGGGTGTATGGAGTAAAAAGTCAGATGCAAGTGATTGATAAACGCTGTTGCGCGGAAGCATCTGTGTGAATGAATGAACCATAATCGCACTTGTCCTTGCTAGAGCACCGATGAAATGACACAGGTCACCGGCCAAAGGCCATCGTAACCAGGTCTAACGCGCCCGTTTGAGCGGTGCACTTCTAATTTGTGAATCACATGTTGAACTTAAGAAGTCACTTATGTTTACGGACACTGGTCATAACGAATGTATCCATCGGTTGGAACATTGGCAACATAAATGAATGAACAAGTATACGGAGTTAACGCTACGCACTTTTCATTAGAAAATTATGAAACGACGGCACAGTGAACAATCAGTTTAGAATATGAGAAAGTTACTTGATCCGGTTTATTGTCACAAAACTGATTTTTCATACTACTTAATAGCGTCTACCACTGACCAAAATGCTATGTGGCAGTTCCTTGAAGTTACTCACTTTTTCGAATTCTCGAGGGGTGCGACATAGCAGGAGAATGACTGTTTCAAATGATATCATTGAAACATGAAAGTGGGCTGATACTAATCCGTAAATTAGCCTATCAACAATCTTACCATATAAATAAACTAGTGCTTAGGTAACTATACCTTCTTTGGGCAACGGAGTTTTCAATGCCGTTTTGATAAATGAGAAACGCCAGATGAAGTTGGTAACTGGAAGGATGTTTGTACGTGTGGGAGGATTGCGTCACGTAATCGATTTTATTTTGTTAACCGTCACCTGTACGTTACCAACCTTTCATGCCTTCCCCATAGCGCATAAAAGCAACCAGAACTATCAAGTTGTCAGTGCTATTGGTTTCGAATGCACCGTTGATTACACAAAAAATTGTATCAAAAATTCCCAAACAAAGTGTACCAAAGACAACATCGGCAGCCGAAATGAAAGTGCAGGATAAAACAAACCAAAAAACGTCTTTCTCGTTCTTTGTAATCTAATTTTCTCATCCGTAGCCAACTGCCATTTACGTATACATGTATACGTATACACACGTATCCGTGAAAACTGTAAGACCACCAAGCTAACATCGTGCAACCGATAACAAGATCGTAAACGGCTGAGGCAGACCGATTATCAATAAAATTTCTTTTCCACTTTAAATATCTTTGCAGCAACTTACTCCCAGTAGGGATGATCCAGATACATCTCTTCCAGGTGTTACAGCGCCAGACAAATGGCCAGGAGTTTCTGCCCACTGACGAACACTCTGACCAGGTGTCGCGGATGGGTCCTTTGGTCGGCCCGGAGTTTCATCCCATTGAGATCGACTTCCTGGAGTCACAGCACCTCCAGGGGTGGCCCCAGGGCGTACAGGCGTGATCGAATCATCTCCCCATCGCTTTGATGGTGTGGTGGCAGCTGGAGTATTTGCAGACACCTCAGATTTGCTTTCATCCGTGGTATCCACTGAAGGTTGATCCCAACGCCGACGCTTGGTCGGTGGTGCAGCGTTATTAACCACACTCAGCTGGCCGGTTTTGCTTTTTTCTAATATTTCAGCTTGGAGTATTCGGTGCTCTTTATTTAGTTGCTGATTGAGCATGATATCTTTGTAGGAGCTCAGACGATGATCCGGTGTTTGATCTCCTGCGGGAAAAATTTGACAGGTATTTTGCTGAGAAAAAATTCCTAGCTTTATCATAGATTAGAAAGTAGTCGATGAACTTATTTCCCACGTCCACATAAACCCTGACACAGACTCCTTGTGTGGTCGAAATTACGTAGAGCAA